TGTTTTTCAGTTTACCGTGGTAACTATGGAGTTATGGTATTCACACTTCAACTGGGGGAGGGGGGGGGGCACACTTCAACTGGGAGGGGGTCAATTTAAATATACAATATTACAACATTCACATAACATTATTGAGCACAAACTAATTCCCTTAAACCTTTGCTATAAGCATAAAAGCGATACCTTTTGCAGTACCAAAAAATTAAGAAGAGATTAAGATATGTAGTTCACTTTGATATTGTTTTGTCTTAAATTAGCTTATTCTTTGTCTTATGGTTATTGCAATGCTTATGTAATAATAAATAAATAAAAATAAAGCAATAATTCAGAAAAAGCATCATGTACAATAGGCGAAGTGCATTATGCCGTCATTTACTGCACTACCAAAATGCTTTGCCAAATTTCTTTTGCAATGCAATTAGTGCCAATTGTTTTATTAATCTCCAAGGGGATTAAAAATCTGAATAACAATGAAAATGCGCAAGGCTCTCTGGTAGTTGTAGTAAAGTTACGTCATAATGCAAACGACCTATTAACTAAACTTTCAGACTTTATAGCTTGTAATCCTAATACTAACGATGATTGGCTCTGATTTAGCCAATCAGAGTGGGTAATGAATATCCACTAAAATATACGCAACATAGGGAAAGTAACTAATGGAAAGGGAAACACAAATGAAACAACAATACTTTGGTTAAAATGTTTTAGTTGAAGGATAGAGTCAAACTAGACAGTAAATAAGTAGTAACTACTTACATGTATATATTTTACTTCACAGATATGAAACGCACCAAGGTAAACATTTGTACAATAAGCAATGTGCAGCRCCGCCATTTTGTGCAGCACTGAGCATAACTCACACTTATTATAGACCCTAAAATATCTCCTTAACAGCTTTTTTGCGCTTTACTTGTACAAACGGCAAAACAACATCTATTTTCGGCTTGGAAAAAGCAAAAACATTTCAGGACTATTTTAGCGAACATGGAAAATTGCGAGGACTACAACTACCATCATGCTTTGCTGCACAAAATGGCGTCGCTGTGGCGTCGCCTATTAAAGGGACAGGGTCCGGCATTCAATTCGGTCGTGGTTTACATTTATTTATACTTTGAAGATCAGGTGACTCAAAATCTCCATTCGCAATCCGTTTCCTAAGGTAGTTTTTAAGGTCGAATCTTACAATATATCCATTCATAGAGGATAAACGGATAATAATGAGTATTTGCTGATATTGCAGCGTATTTTTTATTTTCAAACATAAGCATTAGCTCGAATTGCGAAAGGGATGCCCGTGGACCGTGGCCCTTTAAGGAGCATAAGAACAAAATGGTTATAATAAAAAAGTGTGCTGGGAAAAGTGTGATTTATTTATTATAATCTTAAATTTCTATCGTTCAACATTTTTTGGAGACAACTTGTTTGTCAAAACAATCTCGTCATAAAGGAACAGGTAATCTTAAAGAAAAAAACATTCCAACTGTCTTAACAGATAAGCTCTTCATATAATCCCCAACGAAAGAATCGTCTGATGTAAAAGCAAAAAACAAAAAAATAAAAAAAAACAGAAAGATTAACTGCTACCAACAAAGAGCCTTCATTTAGTGACTATTTAGACACTATCATTTAAGAAATACAAAAGGAACAGTACTTATCACGTGAGAACTTAACAGGAACTCTTCTATTCAATAGCAAGTTAATTATTTATGAAGGGGTCTTAATGCAAATAACCAAAATCGCTATAAGTGTTTTTTGTGCATAMATGACAAGCCCACGCTTTGCTCTGTCTGTGATTTCAAGTTGCAGACACTTAAATWTCATGTGTTTTCAATAGTCCATTAATAACAATGTTTTCTATTGGCACTTTCAACGCAAGGCAATGGGGAGCACTCAAGAACCTTACTTCCCTGGATCTTCATCTGAACAATATATGACAACAGAGATCAGAGATAAGCGCGACCATTTGACATTAATTTTAWATTATAAAAATATCTACATTTGATATTA